CCAGGATGGTCTCGATCTCTTGACCTCGTGATCCACCCGCCTCGGCCTCCCAAAGTGCTGGGATTACAAGCGTGAGCCACTGCGCCCGGCCCAAATTGAAATATTTTCTTTCCCCTTGAGGATGAGGATAACTTCAGCTGCATTTTTTTTTTTTTTTTGATACAGAGTCTCAGCTCTATCACCCAGGCTGGAGTGCAGTGGTGCAGTCTTGGCTTACTGCAACCTCCACCTCCTGGGTTCTTGTGCCTCATTCTTGTGCCTCAGTCTCCCAAGTAGCTGGACTACAGGCGCACCACCAGGCCCAGCTAATTTTTGTATTTTTAATAGAGACGGGGTTTCACCATGTTGGCCAGGTCTGTCTCTAACTGGCCTCAACTGATCTACCTGCCCTGGCCTCTCAAAGGGCTGGTATTACAGCCACTGCACCTGGCCATGTATTTTCAACTTTATTTAGGAAAAGAGCAGAGAACAATTGGGAAGACTAAACAAACAAACAACCCCCCCCAAAAAAAAAACAAAATAGAAAAACAAACAAAAAATAAGACCCTGTGATTTTAGACACCTCAAATGTCATGATTTATGTGAAAGCTAAGGACTCTATTAAGTAGTTAAAAATATTACTAACTACCCTTTATTCCAGAATTGAGTATATTTTTAATGGCCATTATACACAGAATTTGGTAAATTCCTTAAAGTATGTTATGAAAAATATAGTAGGTTACTTCTTACCCAAATAAATCACTACTTGACATTTAAGGAGAAAGTCAACTGAAGCCAGAGTAAGTCCCCTCCTGACATTCTTTGTCATGACTTTCAAGTAGTTTCTTTCTTTTCTTTTTTTGAGATAGGGTTTTGCTTTGCTGCCCAGGCTGGAGTGCAGTGGCATGACGAAGGCTCACTGCAGCCTCTGCCCCCCAGGTTCAAGTGATCCTCCCGAGTGGCTGGGACTACAGTCGTTCACCACTAAGCTTGGCTAATTTAAAATTAGTTTTGGAAGAGACAGGATTTTGCCATGTTGTCCAGGCTGGTCTCAAACCCCGGGGCTCATGCAATCTGCCCACCTTGGCTTCCAAACGTGCTGGGATTACAGGTATGAGCTATGATGTCTGGACCAGCAGTTTCAAATGGATGAGAAACATTCTGGCATAGACACATTGGGTCTTTTAAATTCTTTGACAAAACAGTCACAGGAGAGATGAAATATTTAGTAAAATAAAAAGTTCTACAGAAATGCTCAATGATTTTCAATCAAATAAGACTGTAACTGATAAAATGTTTCTGTCATGAAGTACCATTTCATAGTATTTTTTAAAAAGGCATATAATTTTCTTAAACTGAGAGTGACTCACTTGAGGGAAAAGCCATTTAAGCTGACATATTAAATAGCCACTGCTTTACAGAGGACAATTTAACTATTGAATTATTAGAGTTTAGTATCTAAATGGCTAGTAAATGCCATCTCAGGGGCAAGAAGAAAATAAACAAAAAAGATTAAATGGCTAGTATAATACCTGAAAATAAATAAACTGGAAGCATCTGATTACACACTGTGATCCCAAAAATATTTAAAATAATAGATTTTATTCCTCATGATTAGTAAAACATTTAAAATGTAAAACAAATTTTATAAAAAAGGCCTCCTAACTGAAGAAGGAAATCAACTTTAATTAAAAAAAATATATGAGGGCTCAGGCTTTAGGAAAAAAGCAGTAACAAAACAACAAATGTTCTTTTGTTTCAATTACTTAGTCAAGGAGTAACTCTATGTAGGTTAAAAAAATGTTTTTATTTGGAGAATATATTTAAAACTCACTATAAAACCCAAGAACAAATATAATTGAACCTGAAAAGTAAACATTTAATTTTACTGCTTCCTATTTCTCTAGATCAATGTTAGCTAAACATGTCACCTGTCACATTTTTAATGTCCTTTTACCAACATTTCCAATGGGTCTAATTTGGAAGGGAGTGTAGAATTACTCTGTGATACTTTGGAGGAATCTCTTACTGGCTACAGGATGGGACAATGAGTTTCTGAGCAGCTCTACAGAGGTTATCCATGCCCCATTGCAAAGGTGGCTAGTAAAGAAAGGAAAGGCATCAGATGCAGGTGATGGGAGCCTAGGCAGGATTGGCATTGAGAAGAAAAAGAGTGAACAAAAAAGGAAGGGAACAGTGAGGCAGGTATGCTGGGAAATTATAGAAAGAGCTCTATTAATAAACAGATCCCTTAACTTTGCGCCTCAAAATGGCCAAACCTCTGGAGCATTCCACAGAGAAAGTCAATTTTGTAAATACTTTGTTACATGTCTGCTAGTAGTCTTCTGTTTATGAATGAATAAAGCTCTATTTAACAATTACTAATAATCACATCTTTAGTGCCACTGGAGGATTTAAAAATCATATACTTTGATATTTTCCAGTAGTTACAAGTCCTTATTCCTTTCTTAGTCTCACTTCTAAAATATGAGAATCGTTCCTTTTCTTTTTTTTGAGACGAAGTCTTGCTCTGTCACCCAGGCTGGAGTGCAATGGCACAATCTCAGCTCACTGCAACCTCTGCCTCCTGGGTTCAAGTGATTCTCCTGCCTCAGCCTCCTGAGTAGCTGGGATCACAAGGACCCACCACTACTCCAGGCTAATTTTTGTACTTTTAGTAGAGATGGGGTTTCACCATGTTAGTCACGCCGGTCTTGAACTCCTGACCTCAGGTGATCCGCCTGCCTTGGCCTCCCAAAGTGCTGGGATTACAGGCGTGAACCACCACGCCTGGCTCATTTTCTTAACTAAACTGAAAGTCATAAATCAGTTCTGAAATCATAATGGCATTACTTATCTTAAGCTGCCCAAATGAGGGGTTAAAGGTTTGCCATAAATAGTGATTTTCCTGAATGACATCTAACTATTCAAATAAAGAAAATGTTTAAAAAATTTATTTGTGGGTACTTAAAAACTAAATTATCATTAATTTAAAGTCTTGTCAATTTTGTTCTTTATTGACCTCAAAAAGGCATCAATACAGATATCTGTTGACTGGAAGAACATTGAACTAACTGTTGGCTACATTTAAAAATCATGACAAAATTAAATTGAGTAAGTGAAAATATAGTTAAGAGGCTGACAATGAAGTAGAGATGGCCAAATCTTTGATAGGACCACATGCTGTTGCTTTCTATTTTTGATTCCATCTGAATCACAATAAGAATACACTGACCACCACATTAGAGTCATTTTCTATACAACAAATTATAAGTATTAGAGAGTACTAACAAATACTTCATACCATGGAATGCAAAAAGGAGAACAGCATTCTTTCATCATAAGTAGAATCTTGCTGGTCAAAGAATATATGGAGGACAGAAATTTCATGAGACACAATGATAAGGTGATTACTAAAATATGCATTATGAGAGGTAAGAATAATCTAATAATCACTTGAAAAAATCTATTACCTGGTGTTTGGCAACTACAATTATCTGAAAGAAAAACAAACCTAAAAGTTCTCACAGAATTCTGTGAAGATTTTTTGCAGGGGAGGGATTAAGTGGAAAGGGGACAATGCACTTGCAATGAAGTTTGACTTCTACGTGAGCAAGACATCTTTAATGTATTTTTAAAAAGTTATTTAAAAAGAACTCCAATTTATAACATTTTCCCACTAAAAATCCAAAGCTAAGACATTTTACTCATGTCAAACATGCCACTTCTCAGCAGTATTTTTGGTCACCTGCACTCACAATTTACAAAAATAAATTTAGTTTATTGCTTCAAGGAAATAAAGGACAACCACATTTTCTAAACTGTTATAAAAAGAATTATAGAAAAAGTATTAAGAATAAAAATAGAATTATTAAATTCTAGTGACTTCCTAAATTAGATCTGCTCAGTTTGCCTTATCTAACCCAGGTTAACCTACCGACAACTTCCCACCTGCAAACATAGGAACAGGTATGCTCTTCTTCTGGAGTCCCTAGCGGACATGTGATAGCTAGTAACAAAAGTCGCATGAGAAAAACTGAAGTTTAATACTTAAAATAACCAAGTGAACAAAAGAAACCAGGAACAGAAAGTAAAGCCTCTAGAAGAGGCACTGCCAATTTTTAGCAATGTCCATGTATTTTAACCCTTGGATGTTAAAAATCCAATGTTAAGTATAAATTTTAGTTTGGGGAAAAATTACATCTAGTCTTTAACCACACAAGTGTTCTTTGGTTTACCTTAAAAAAAGAATATTTTATTCAGTTTAACATATAAGCAAACATATATTCATTTATTTTCTTTTTGTTGCTACTCTCCTGCACTCTCTCACTCATTTGTTTCAGTGGACAGGAAACGCACCATATCCCCCTGCCTGGATGGGTGTTTTTGGAGAAGCACAAGCATATAGACTAAAATCCTCTGTTTGGAAACCAGCCCGATTCAAGGAGGGTTCTGATGCACTGCGGTGAATTTTTGGCAATGAGCGGGCCAGCAGCTCAATAGAGGCGAGAATCTACAAAAAAAAAA